TAAAGCATTTTAAAATAATGTGTAACACACGTTTAGCCATGACTAGTATACTTAAACGAGCAACAAAAAATAAAAATAATCATATGGGACCAATTTTGCTAATAATGTAAAATTGATGATAAAAATACGACAAAACGATTGAGATATAAATTCAATAATAAACAAAGGCTTAAAGCTTCTAGTGAAATTTAAAAAATAGTATAAACAAATGCAAAATATAGTATAAATACATTTATTAACGAAAAATGTTATTCAGTCTCTGTGAGCCAATATCATATAGACCAGTGACCAGCCATTTCTTTAAACAATGTGACAATAACCCTACAACAGAGGATCAACTGAGTTGATGATTAGCATTACTCTATTAACTAGTTAAAGTTTCTTAACAAATATTCCCTAAAATTTTTCAAAGTCGTGTATTCAGACAGTAGTCCTAAATAAGAAACAAAATTCACTTGCTCTAGGAGACAAAATTCTACTTGTACAAGAAAAGATGGATTATCCCAACAGGATGTCAAAATTCTGCCACACATCTGCTTGAATGAGAGAGAGAGAGAGAGAGGGAGAGAGAGAGAGAGAGCCTACAGACAATCCATCAAAATGCAAATGACTGCTATGTTTTACGTTTGACAGAGAAATTAGTAAACCAAACAAGACGGCTGTCCTGGAGCAAAACTCTCCACCTCTTTGAGACTCACAGGGATTGCAGCCGACAGTTAACTCATTAAAAAGCTGATCTGATTGTCTAATATCTCAATACTTCTATATAGAAAAATGAAAAGGGCTTCATAGCACAGCTGTTTGTCGTTCATTCGCATCTTCATGCTCGACCTAGCAGAAAGATCATATGAGACCATTTATGGATACAAATGATTATTAATATACTACAGTTACAAATGAAAAAGAAAGAGTGAATAGAGAAAGAAATATTGTTAATTCATCTTTACCTCAACAAGTACTTTCACTTTGTTCTTCGATTTGGCTCCAGGTTCATCTTTCTCCAGCTTTCTCACAGAATCCTTCCTCCCTCTCTTGCGTTCAACAGCTACAGTCTCCTCATCATCGACGTAGTCCATTCCAACTGCAGCATTTCAGATTTAAAATACGAATATTAGCCAGCTAAACTACAAACACAAATTTTCGTCTAAGAAAATAAAATATTATGCACCAGTCTCCTAATTGGCAAAGCCTAGCTGATGTGCTGTTTCACGTTAAGAAAAACAATTTTTACCATTATCATCATCCATGTTAGGGATTGCAAGACCACCGAAATCTTCCATATCCTCCTCTTCAAGCTCTTCATAGCCTTCAACATATTCTATCTCAGGTTCCTGTATGTATCAATTGTAGACTAACAATGAGCATTACGACATGCTTAAAGAGGAGGAGAAAGGAAGCACCAAATGATTGAACAGATTTGTCACATTTGTGCAAAACAACCTCTTCGTCTTCGCTAACAGCTTCCTTTATAACCTCCTTATCAAGAATTTCATTGTACTTATCAACAGGGTAATTATAAATGTCACCATAAACTCCTTTCTTGAGGCGTTCAAGTAACTCTGTTTCAATACTCTGCAAAATGGTTAATAGTATTAATTCCTCAGTGTGCACCATACCATGAAAGCCGAAAGGTAAGCAACACATATATGAAAAAGAGAACAGCAATAGATATACTTTCTCCAAAACTGCTGCCTTCTCGGCCTTCTCTTCTCTCCGAGCTTCTCTTTTCTTCTCTTTCCTAGGAGTTGTCATAATTTTCTCCCTGAGCAAACATGCAGTGTATTAGAATCATGTCACAGGTGGGAAAATTTGTATTCATACCGATCAACAATGAAAGAGAGAGAACTAAGAGAAAGCTGATGTGCATGCATGTGTAAATGCACACGTACACAAAGTAGCCAGCTGGAAATTATTATTTGACAGCACCATCTCTGGATAGCACTAGTGGCTACAGTTGACACCAAAACATCAATCAAATTTTCAACATTTAAACTTCGCCAATGGAGGACACCTGGCCAATAATTTAAGAACCTTAAGAACTTTAAGATCTCATGTTCACCTATTGAACTAAGATAACCCCCTTGAAAATGTTAAGACCGTCCTCATTAAACAAGAGCTACAAGTACAACATTATGAATCTCTTTTTGGAGACACACACAACAATTTCCTACCATACTGTCCCAAAAATCCAGCAGGGATCTAAACAAGTAGGGATGGACTATCAACTCCTAAATCACATGCCAAAACCAATACTACAAGCATCAACATTGCTATTCATCTTGACGACAACTAAGTAACTCGCATCACAACTTTAATATCATAACTTAGTTTTGCAGTAGTAAATAAAAATAGTGGACCAAGATGCCATCGACTGATAGTAATGGAGGTTGCAAAGAAAGACAATTCTCGAACCTATAAAATTCTGTTATACCTCACTGCAATCTCCAACAGTTTCTTTATATACTAATAATGCCACACTTAAAAACAGCCAGACAGAGCCATATATAACTTATAAGAACTAAATTGACCACTGAAAACAAGCTGAGGATTTCAGATAGATAGAAAGGAGTCAAATCTAACCAAGCTTAGTGAAGGAAGAAACAATCCAACTAGCAAGCAAGTATAAGCAAGTGAGGAACGAGTCCCTGCTAGTTCAAGTATTGGTTGGTCTTACTTAAGCAGATGGTATCAACTTAAAGCACAGAGAAAAAAAATTAAGAGTGCATAGAAATTTGAGTTCAGGTGAGCAAAGATTGTTAGCATAAACAGCAGGAGAGAGAAAAATAACAAACCTTGTCTTCAAAGCAAGTTTCCTCATGCGAATACGCATCTGCGTCATCTTGGTCAATCTTTGCTTTGTTTTATGAACAAGTAGTTTCGGCCAGAACATCTGTTAAATTGAGGGAAAGCATTAAAGATCTCTGAGTCTGATGCCATACATAATACCTCTTGGCTCAAATTCCATTCCAACTACAACAGAAAAATTATAAAGACTCATTACCAAGTGTTTGTCAATAATTTCAAGGGCCTTTTCATAATTTCTGGGCAATTTAACTCTTTCCCACAATTTATTTGGCATATGCGCCCTTTCTATCGTCTTCATATACAGATAAAACACTCCTGCAAAACAAACACCAAATACCCAACTCCCAAATATTCAGCCAAAAAATAATCTAAATCTAAAAACATAAAACAGTCCAGAAAGAACTAACATTTCAAAACATTTAGCATTTTATGAATTATTATACTATAACAAATTAAAAATGAAAATACCATCATGTTCACGGATTGTGGCGTATCGACTATTAGCGAGAGGGCAGGAGCTCCGATTACATATCCCCGTCACGTTGTAAGGGTTCCGACAAAATATCCCAGTTTCAATTCTATCATAGTATCATACGAAAAATTTAAAACAAGAGGGGAAAAAACACAACCTAAAACCCATAATTTCATCATATAAGCATCAATCAATATCAGAATAATGAAAAGAAAACTCAAACAACAGAAAAAGGTTTACTTGGCCATGAAACTGCAGTGATTGTGCCTGATAACTTGCCATATGACCTCATCGTGCTGCATCTCTACTGATTAGAATCGAATATTTCAAACTACTTTTTAGGTTCACAGTGAATTGGGGTTGAGGGAATTAGGGTTTAGGAGAAAGGGTTTCGTGCGAAACCCCGCTTAAACTTAACTGGGTTAGTTCGAGGTCAGCGGGTCTCAATAACTAGACTCTATAGAATGTTTGGGTCGTTTGGCTAAGCTTGAAAAAATGTTTCTCATGTATAAATCAATAATTTTTTTGTTGTACGAACTTCAGAAAAAATAAATGTTCTAAAAAGTGTAATGCGTGAGGCATTTGAGTAAAAAGAGCAAAAAAAAAAAAAAAAACTTTTTCTTAGTTTAATATTATTTTAATTTTTAATCAATCAAAAAAATATTTAATAATTAAAAATAATACATATAAAATATCTAAAACAAATTTATAGAAATTTTATGCATTTTTTCAAAAGTTTTCAACAAAAAGATAAATTTCTAATATTCCACTTTTAAGTTTAAACTTAAAAGAATTGTAAAAAAAGATAAAAAAAAAAAAAAAGAAAAGGATAATATAGAAACACGAGAATATGAAGGAATAGAAGAATACAGATTAAAAGTAACTTTTGATAATAATAAATTCAAAAAATTACAAAATCTATCTTTAGATTTGAAAGTAGGAAAATTGAAAATTTTTTACAAAATTTGGAAAAGAGAAAAAATAGTTATAAATGAATATCATAAGATTGAAAAAATTATAGATGTTAGAACTCAAGGAACACATAATTAAATATTTTAACAAAAAACACAATTGATGAGTGATTATCAAAAATTAATAAAAAATAAAGTGAAAAGATTCAATATGTTTATTTAGCAAGAATACAAATAATGTTTAAATCATTATTTAGAGAATGAATATATTCACCATTAACAGGAAGTCTACGTGATGGAAGAATAATAAATTTAAGAAATAATCATTTAGGAACCATAGAAGGAAACTTAGCATATAGAAAAATGATATTTACTTGTTATCCAAAATATTGTATCTCATTAAAAGATAAAAACTTTAATGAAATTTTAGGAT